TCTCCCGAAATCTGATTGTAACACCGGTAAATCTGCTTTAGTATTAGACAATTCCTTATTTATTCGGATAACTATACCCCAAAAATTCAATTTAGCCCTTTTCAAAGTAATACTTATCAGGGTTGAGTTTCAAGTTCACTTCGCATAACTTACCCAGAACTACTTCAACATGTTTCAAGTGTTTTTCAAAACTCAGGAAGTAAACATTCATATCATTTATATAGGCCAGCACAAAGTCCCACATTGCTTGTTGCAGTATATGATCCATCAATTGTTGGAAAGTGGCAGAAGCATTTATCAAGCCAAATAGCATTATCACGAACTCGTACAACCCAAATTTTATTGTAAATGCTATTTTGTTACAATCACGGGGATGGACATTGACTTGCCAAAATTTTCTTGCAAGGTCCAAGGTAGTATACTAGACCAAATTCTCAAGGACACCCAGTAACTAGTTAATTCTGGTAGTGGGTAGCTATCACGTTTTGTCTGTTGATTAAGCTTCTGAAAGTCTACATACAGCCTCATTTTTCTATTTTTTTTTTTACTAATACGATGGGAGACACCCATGGGCTACACGACGGTCAAATTAACCTGGCTTCTTCCATGCACTTAATCTTTTGGCCTATAAACTCATGCTCCACTTTTGATGTAGGATAGAATCTTTGCTTTACTGGAGGACCTTCTTCTGTATGTATTTCATGTTGGACGACCGATATCTTTCCTAGTTGATTGGGTTCTCATGCAAAAATATTCTTGTATTTACCCAGAACTTCCATCATCCGACCTTGTTGTTCAGGTGTCATGTTTCCAAGGTTGTATTGGTCTTTTAACTTTCTATCTTTATGCCAATAGTCCTTCCAATTCGTTGCCTCATTCCACAGACAATTCATTTCGTCGTGTTCTTTCTTTAAACATACCCTACATACAACATTAGTCTCTTTTTGTATAAGATAGAACTTGGAATACAAATACATTTGGCTTATTAAGCCTTCTTCTTCCTCATACTCCTCTTCGTCACTTGTGTCAATTTGTTATTGTCACTACTATTGTCATCATCATCAGCACTTTCATTTTCTTTATCCGCTTTCGCCTTCTCTTTTCCATCCTTTCAAGGAATTTGGTCTTCAATGTTTGCCGATTTACAATATTCAGTCAGCACTTTTATCTTTTTATCACCGTCCCTTATCATTAGTTCATATGATTTCCAATCCAATCAGGCTTTCACCTTTTTCATCCAATTGTTTCCTACGATTACCACATAATTTTCAGTGTCAGTTACAACAGCACAAGGCGTTCTGGTTTTGCCACCAACAGTCATAGAGAATTTGTCAATTTCTTCTAGCGGCCTTTTTTGCTTACCATATACTCCTATCATCATTACTGTCGATGGTCAATCGATCGTTATTCTAGAGTCTTTTAAGAACTCCACAGAAACAACACAGCGGATGATCTACTATTCAAGATTAGAATGATCGGTTGACCATTCACTTCGCATCGCAATACATTGATATTGTGTAGACTTTATCATTTCGATTAAGACAAAATTCGGCAAGCTTCACTTTGGCTATCCTACCAGGATGAAGAATCTTCAATGCCTCTTTTTGCATACTCAGAGTGGCTTAGAAGAGTTGCATGTACGTATCTTTTACTATATATTGGATTTTTGAACCACCAGCTTTTTCTTCAATCTTTATTCCAATATTGATCATCTCAGATGAGATATCGACTCCTATTACATTTTTGGCACCAAGTTCAGCAGCTATTCTACTATATACACCAGTTCCACAAGCAAGATCTAGAACGGTTTTTCCCTTTAATGATTCATAAGGAAGAAGTGATACCATCGTATAAATTTCAAGGGCAGTGTGCATATTATTATCATTCTTTACTTCTTGATACTTTTCAGCAATATCATCAAATTGTGAAGCCATTATCCCGAAAACTTTTTTCTGAATTATACCAATTGTAATGTATAGTTATCCGAATAAATAAGGAATTGTCTAATACTAAAGCAGATTTACCGGTGTTACAATCAGATTTCGGGAGA